AAGCATCCCGAGGATACCATTACTTTGCGTGCTTTGCTCCAGCACCTCTCAGTGAGGCTATTTAGTATTCATCTATCTTAATCTCTTTTACCCTATCGAACCAAAGCTTTTTTATCGGACCTTACTGGCTTTTCTAGAGGGAAGGTACAAGTGCCTTCGCAGCATTAAAAAAGATGCACTTATATTTTGAAATTTGGCAGTGGGTTGACATGTAATAAAACGTTTTCAAAAGCAAACAGAAGAGAGATTTTCGAATATCTCTGTGAGGGTGTACTTAAGCATCTGCCAGTAGGGTTTTATGACTGGACAATCCCACTATATGTGCTTAACTGATTCCACACCTCCTCCGCATCTCCAACAATCTGACATGCCTGTGGGAAACAACTTTTGTAGAAATTCAGGAGTACTGCAGTACCATCATGAGAGCAGCATATCATTAATTTCCTAATATCTTAAGCTAATAGAAATTTTATGTTGCAGGATCAGCACCTTATTCCACCGATTGTCTGAGAAAGTATGCCCAGTACGTTCTGCCAGTCCTTCTTAAACCTTTTAGGGAGAATAGGGAGAACTGTGTTGTCTCATTGGTTTAGTTTTCTTCAAATTATATTTTAATGGCTTGAGATATCTAATCTACAAAACACGCATCATTCAAGAGGGTCTCGTTTAGTTTTCATGTCCATTCTCTCGGTTTACTAAGTGGTTAACTCAATATGATTTGGACTGTGAAATAGCCCAACCACATAGAGGGCCCAATCTGTGCTGTGCGGAGTAATGGGAGATTTTCCTGCTGTACAAATAAATAGTCCGTCTATGAGTAGCAAGGGTGGATGGCCGAGTAATGTGTGTCTGGATTTAACACACTCAATCAATCTACGAGTGGCAGGCCACGGAAGCTATCCTAATACTGGATTATATATACTACTCTGTGATGTGGAGCTATCCAATCTAGGATCAAGTGGGACATTGAGGTCCCCACCCACTATCAGAGTACCCTCCGCAAAGCTGTGTAGGCTAACAAGCGTGGTTCGCAGAAAATGAGCCAGTCCTCTGTTAAGGGTATATATGGACACTAGCATATATGTGATTTGTGATGAAGCTTTTCACAAATAAGTATCTGCTCCTTGGATCCCTCTCAATCCCAGTCTGTGTAAACTGAACATGTTTTGAGAAAAGTATTGCCAGTCCGGCCTTCTCGTCCCTGTAATAATACTAAAATATCCTTTAGGGAAAATGCTACTTCAGAGTGTGGGCGCAAATCCCTCCTTGAAATCTGTATCCTGCAGGAATGCTGTTGGTGTGTGGATCTGGTCGAATCATGCAACAATGTGTAAAGTGGGGGATGTAAGGAAGCAGCACTTAACAATTAAATTGTTAAGCACTGCTTCCCTACATCCTCCGCTTTACTTGCATCAACGACCAGAAAGAAGAGACTCTGGTTTGGGAAAGGTTTAGCTGCTATACACATAAGGAACAAGCGCCAGAAATTTCACTTGCTGCTATATGCAACAATGTCTGTTATGAAACAGCAACAATCAGAAGTAGACAGAAAAAGAAAAAATAATAATAATTATGGGTCACCTACTTCTAGTAGCTACTGGGTCTTATCCAGATAAAGCTGGCGGTTTGCCATGTTATTGCTTGAAATTTGTAATTCCTGCATTCAAAGTTTTAAAGTGCTGCCAGGCAGTGTGCATAAATCAATGTGAAATAAATGGCAGTTTCTTTCAGATCTCACGGTAATAAAAATAATTGATGCTTAATGACCTGGCCACCCAAGACTACGCAAGAGGGAGCCAGAGGAGCCAGAAGATTGAGGAGAGAGCAAAGAGAAAGATATGGGTGGGTGTAGACTACTCCCCAGAAACAACATTAAATAACAAACATTTCCCTGAAAGGACTGTGGACCGGCAGCCCCGGGGTGTGAGTTTCTACTACTTCAAATATGATTCCGGAGTGCAAAAAACTTCTGTAATACGTCCAATTGACGGTAAGGAAACCTGAAATTTTTTTAGCAAATACATTGTTTTTTTTTTAATTCTTTTTTTTTTGACTCAGGTCAGAGGCTAAATAAAATTATGACAGAAGAGAAAAGAAAAACATGTTATGCAAACAACAATCACATACAGTAGAGCTTAACAGACGAGGTGTCTAGCTAAGAGTAGCTTTGGGCCGTGAACTGAGTAAAATTATTTTGGGTAGTGGGGGTTAGCGTTGTAACAGAAGCCTAGAGTGCCCGGGAGGTATGGCCTTATAGCTGATGGGTCTAACGTTGATAAAGGCTTTTAGGCTGAGTGTGCTGGTGAGTAGATTAATGCCCTCGCTCTGCCTCCGTGGCTGAGATCTCAGCCAATCCAAAGTGCAGCACTGACCCAGGAAACACTTCTAGTTGCCGTCTGGGGTGTGGCTACAGGAGGTGCCCCTAGGCAGAAATGTAAAAAGTGCCTTCTCTCTGAAAAGGCAGTGCTTACATTAAAATGCCGACAGGGACAGTCTATACTCACCAGAACAACTGCATTAAGCTGTAGCTCCTATCCTCTTACGAGCAAGCTGTGTGGAGCGTTGCTGTGTGTTACCATGGCAACGCTCCACACAGCATCGCGCAGGAGGATAGGAGAGCTGCTTCCTACTATACTTACCACCACCGGACCACCAGGGATGACTGTGTCCCCCCTCCTTCACCAAAGGTAAGAGGAAGGGAGGGGGGATACAGAATTAATATAACTTTTTAAAAAAAAATGTATCTTTACCTCTACCCCACACAGCACAGCACCCTTACCCCCCTACACAGCACCCCTACCCCTCTACAGCACCCCGCACCCCCACAGGGACAGTCTATATTCACCAGAACAACTGCATTAAGCTGTAGCTCCTATCCTCTTACGAGCAAGCTGTGTGGAGCATTGCTGTGTGATACCATGGCAACGCTCCACACAGCATCGCGCAGGAGGATAGGAGAGCTGCTTCCTACAATACTTACCACCACCGGACCACCAGGGATGACTGTGTCCCCCCTCCTTCACCAAAGGTAAGAGGAAGGGAGGGGGGATACAGAATTAATATAACTTTTTTTTTTTTTAAATGTATCTTTACCTCTACCCCACACAGCACAGCACCCTTACCCCTCTACACAGCACCCCCCACAGCACCCCTCCCCCCACAGAACCTCTACCCCAGAACACCCCTATCCCCCAGAGCACAGCACCCCTACCACCTACAGCACCCCTACCCCCAAAGCACAGCACCCTTACCCCCACACAGCACAGCGCCTTACCCCCCCACACAGCACACCTACCCCCCAGCACAGCACTCCTACCCCACACAGCACATCACCCCTACCCCGCACACACACAGCACCCTTCAGACACACATACAGCACTCCACACCCTTACACACAAACACTTAAACTGGACCCCTCAATGTAGTATGTGTGTGTGTATTCAGCAGACTGTGTGTACTCAGCAGTCTGTGTGTGTGTGTGTATTCAACAGTCTCTGTGCGTGTATATTCAGCAGTCTCTGTGTGTGTGTATTCAGCAGTGTGCGAGTGTGTGTACTCAGCAGTGTGTGTATTCAGTAGTCTGTTTGTGTGCATGTGTATGCACTCAGCAGTATGTGAGTGTGTGTACTAAGCAGTGTATGTATTTAGCAGACTGTTTGTGTGTATTCAGCAGTGTATGTATTCAGCAGTCTGTGTGTGTATTGAGCAGTCTGTGTGTGTGTTCAGCAGTCTGTCTGTGTATTCAGCAGTCTATCTGTATGTGTATTCAGCAGTCTGTGTGTATGTATTCAGCGGTCTGTGTGTGTATGTATTCAGCAGACTGTGTCTACTCAGCAGTTTGTGTATTCAGCAGTCTGTGTGTATTTAGCAGTCTTTGTGGGTGTATTCAGCAGTCTGTGTGTACTCAGCAGTCTTTGTGGGTATATTCAGCAGTCTTTGTGGGTCAGCAGTCTGTTAGTGTGTATTCAGCAGTATGTGTGTGTGTGTGTATTCAGCAGTCTGTGTGTGGGTGTATTCAGCAGTCTGTGTGTACTCAGCAGTGTGTGTATGTATTCAGCAGTCTCTGTGTGTGTGTACTCAGCAGTGTATGTATTCAGCAGACTGTGTGTTTGTATTCATCAGTGTATGTATTCAGCAGTCTGTGTGTGTGTATATATTCAGCAGTCTGTGTGTACTCAGCAGTGTGTGTATGTATTCAGCAGTCTGTGTGTGTGTGTACCCAGCAGTGTATGTATTCAGCTTACTGTGTGTGTGTATTAAGCTGTGTATATATTCAGCAGTCTCTGTGTGTGTACTCAGCAGTCTCTGTGTGTGTGTGTATGTATTCAGCAGTCTCTGTGTACTTATCAGTGTGTGTATTCAGCAGTCTGTGTGTCAGTGTACTCAGCAGTCTGTGTGTGTGTACTCAGCAGTGTGTGTGTGTGTGTGTGTGCTCAGCAGTGTATGTATTCAGCAGACTGTGTGTGTGTATTCAGCAGTGTATGTATTTAGCAGTCTATGTGTATTCAGCAGTCTGTCTGTATGTGTATTTAGCGGACTGTGTGTGTATTTAGCGGACAGTGTGTGTGTGTATTTAGCGGACGGTGTGTGTATGTATTTAGCAGCCGGTGTGTGAATGTGTTCAGCAGTCTGTGTATGTATTGCATTTGTTGGAGATACTAATAAATATAATCTTAATTTTATCTATTTATATCATAATTTAAAATTTGTATAATTGAACTCTCTGTTGTGTTCTTTTAAAACAAAAGTTGTTAATTAGTTCGGACAACTGTACAAATAGTTTTTTTCTAAACTTAAATCTCAGTATTCAGGTTTAATTGCCATGTTGGCACTTTGAGGAAAAAAAAGTTGGCATGTATTGCGGTTTGGGCACTCGGGCTCAAAAAGGTTCACCATCACTGCCCTAGACCCCAGTTACCTTTATAAAAAGGGGCCTTTGTGTAGAAAAGAGGAGACAAGTTCTCTGATATTAAATTCCAGACTCCAACGATTGAATAAAGCACACATTAAGGTTTATTATTGGTTTACCAACATGGGTAATTTGCTTTATTAGAAGAAGAAAACAAGCAAGCTAATACAGACTGCATACAAAACAAACTCGTGCCAGTAGAGGGCCCAAGCATTGGCTGATTTCAAGCTTTTTATCAAAACACTTCTTGCACCATAACTGCAACAATAAGTTTGTGCTTGGCTATAAGTAAGAACACCACCACATTAAATTCTTGTATAGTTGTTGAGATATAAGATAGTTTAGGGTTCTAAAAGTAGGTCCAGATATACCTAGAGAAAAATAAAGATACCAATATAAATCATTGTTCATTAAAAGGATATCTATATATTACTAGATAAAATATCCAGAAACGTAACTATTTAATATAGAAACACAGCATATGATGCAATATTGACAGATATTTACTAAAGTGGGAATTGTCAGGAATTCAGAGTGAGTTTAAAATTTTAAGCCAAAAAAAATAATAATTTAAAAATATGGATTTTTTTTTCTAATTCGTCTGTTTTGGCCCAAACTTTGAAATTCAGTTTGAATTCACTTTCAGTTCCTGACAATTCACATTTTAGTATATAACTATGTTGGTGTTTTAGGTTAGTCACCCAGGTAAAAACATATACTGCAATAAGGATTCCCAAATCCATTATATTTAGTAGATTGTAGAATCTTTATGTGTTTGGAGAAAATAATTCAAACAAAATGGTTTTCAGAAGCCAATGCCTTGAATTATGAACTGACAGAGCTACTTCAATATACTAACTTGCCAAATCATTTTGGAGTGTTACATTAGTCTTAGAGTATCTGTCAATTCATGAATTGTTCTTAAATATTCTGTATATTTGTAATAGTCAAATCCCATAAACGAAGAGTTACGGATGATATAAGTGTGATCATAAAAATATGACACAATAAAATAGAAGGTAAGAACTGGACACAGTTTTAGGAGCATTAAAAATATATATCCAGAGAGAATGATATACAATAGCAATTCACAAGCTGTAACCTCTCAGTCAACTACAGCAATGTGGGAACCAGGATATATAGAAAAATAGAAACAGAATGCGATGGCAGATAAGAACCATTCGGCCCATCTAGTCTGCCCAATTTTTGAAATACTTTCATTATTCCCTGGCCTTATCTTAAGTCTAGAATAGCCTTATGCCTATCCCATGCATACTTAAACTCTCTCACTGTGTTAACCTCTATCACTTTAGCTGGAAGGCTATTCCATGCATCTACTACCCTCTCAGTAAAGTAATACTAACTGATATTATTTTAAAACTTTTGCCCCTCTAATTTAAGGCAATGTCCTCTTGTTGTGGTAGTTTTTGTTCTTTTAAATATAGTCTCCTCCTTTACTGTGTTGATTACCTTTATGTATTTAAATGTTTCTATCAAATGGTGTTATACTTAATTCTGGCCTCACATTTGAGCCTCACATCCAGTCTGTTACCAAGTCCTGTAGATTCCACCTTAAAAACATAGCCTGCATCTGCCCCTTTCATACACAAGTTGCTACTAAGGAGCTTGTCCATGCTCTAGTAATCTCTCGCATGGATTATTGTAACTCTCTCCTAACAGGTCTTCCCACAAGTCGTATTGCCCCGCTACAGTCTGTAATGAATGCTGCAGCTAGACTGATTTTCCTCTCCTGTCGCTCCTCTCACACCTCTCCACTCTGTCAGTCCTTACATTGACTTCCTCTACCCTATAGAAGTCAATTCAAGGTGCTAATCCACACCTATGAATCACTGACCAATTCTAGCCCCTCCTATATTTCTGAACTGATCCGCAGGTATGCCCCTTCTCGGTCTCTCCGCTCTGCCCATGACCTTCTCCTGTCTGCTGCTCACACCCGTACAGCCAACTCACGCTTGCAGGACTTCTCGCAGGTGCCTCCTTTCCTTTGGAATAGCCTGCCTACGACCATCAAGCTCTCCCCTGGTCTTCAATCATTTAAAAAGTGCCTCAAAACCCAACTCTTTAGGAAAGCTTATTGCCTCCCAGAGTAACCTCTACCTCACAAAGCTGTCCTTTACTGTCTCCTAAAGGGCAGTCTCCTCCAGCTCTGCTTCACTCCACCTTGTTTGATTTCTACCTTCTGTCCTGTTGTGTTTTACGCCCATCTCCTATTGATTGTAAGCTCGTTTGAGCAGGGTCCTCTTCAACCTATTGTTCGTGTAAATTTTTGTAATTGTCTCATTTATTGTTAACTCCCTCCCCCCCCCCCTTTGATAACATTGTAAAGCGCTATGGAATATGCTGGCACTATATAAATACCAGTAATAATAATAATATCACCCCTGTCTCGTCTTTCCTCCAAGCTATACATGTTAAGATCCTGTAACCTTTCCTGGTAAGTTTTATCCTGCAATCGATGAACAAGTTTAGTAGCCCTTCTCCGAACTCTCTCTAAGGTATCAATATCCTTCTGAAGATACGGTCTCCAGTACTGCGTACAATACTCCAAGTGAGGCCTCACCAGTGTTCTGTACAATGGCACAAGCACTTCCCTCTTTCTACTGCTATATCAAGTCTTTTGCAATTCTTTACATTTTAGTGCATTCATAAAATAAAATATTCATGTGATATCTCCTAGTATGGAAAAGTTTACATTACGATATTAGTACAAGAGCATGTTCCTGTTTTAATTAGGACAGAAGGTACTGTTTGTACATAATTGTGTTTGTCTTAGTCAGCACTATTAGAAAAGGGTGTCATACCAAAATAAAAGGCAGGTCAGTCAATGTCAGAGGCATTCAGACTAGGTTATATCTGCTCAAACAATGAGAAAATGAAAACTATGTCTACTGGGGTCTTTAGGACTGGCTTTTGGAATCTTTAATCAAATAAGCAACATTATTTATTTTAACATTGAGAACAAGAGTTGATACTGCTACTAGCTTTGGTAAGCCAACTTGAAGATAGAGCGTTTATTAAATAATAGGTGGCAGGTTGAGATACCACAAATTCAGTTACCTATAGATGGGTGATCACTGCCATGGCCATTTGAAGCCTTTTTGGCTCGATTTTGTTTTTTCCTCCTTTGATGTAGGACTTGTTTGTGTGTCTGAGGAGGTACTTGTTTGCATTTTGCCTTGTGCTCCTTGGGCAGAGGGGTTTTGCTGGATGTTGCATTTTTCTTCTGGTTTCAGTGAAGGCTGTTGAGGTGTGGTGGAATGCCAAGATTCAGTCACGGTGTGCTGGACAGACTCACGGTTCCTTAGTAGTTTTGGAGACTGCTGTGAGAGAGCATATAGTGGATTTTCTGTGCGTGTCTGTTCCTTCTTTTGTTGCTGCTGCACATTATCTTGATGCATTAAACTAGCACCAGGATTCAAATTTGTGTAAAACTGCTGCTCATTCACAGGCCAAGATGTGTTTACCTTTTCGTGGACTGATTGCTGGGGTTGCTTGTGTTCTAATTTGTGTACTTGGTAATAACTGGAAGGTAAACTTACTTCATGCCACTGCCAGTGCTCCACAGAATGTGATGATTGTTGAGGCATTTGGAACATCTGTTCTCCTTTTACATCTTGTGGTTTCTGCATATGATCATGTGGTAAATTGTCTTGCGTTTGAAATACATAATGTGTTTCACGGCATTCCGTTTTCTTTGTTGTCGTCTCTTCACTCTGATTTTGCTTCTGTGGTGGATCGTATTTTTTTGTTGGGTCTTGCACCTGAATTGGGTCTTGCTTTTGTGCTGCATCTGATTTACATTTTAGGTCTTGTTTCTGTGTTTGGTCTTGTGTGGATGTGTGATGTTGTGTCTGAGATAAGTTTTCGATCTGATTTTCATTTTGTTTCTTGAGTGGGTGTTGTTTCAGAGGAATGTCTTGAATCTGAGTTGTGTCTTCCTTCTGAAATGGATCTGGTGACTGTGGTGGGGTTTGTTTATGAGAAATGCCTTCTTGACTTTCAAATAGTTTGTGTTTTTGTATTGTGTCAGGTTTCCATGTGACATCTTGTTTCAATGCTGGGTCTTGTTTCTGTGTTTCATCTTGTTTTTTGTTTGGGTCATGTTTTGGTGTTGGAACTTGTTTCTCAGATGGGTCTTGTTTCCCAGTGATATCATATTTGCACGATGACTCTTGATTCTGTATAGTGTCTTCTTTCTGGGATTGATCTTGTTTTTGTGTTGTTTCTTGTGTCACTGTTGCAAGTTTTTGGTATTCTTTCTGGGCGGTGTCTGGTGTCTGAGATGATTCTTTTAAACAATCCTGTTTCTTAGATGAGTCTTTTTTCTGATATGGGTCTTGTGTTTGAGAAATGTCTTCTTTCTGTTTTGAATCCTGTTTCTTTTGTAGATCGTGTTTCTGTGTGGGGTCCTGTTTTTGAGATAGTTCTTGTGTCTGTGTTGCACAATATTTCCATGTTGGATCTTGCTTTTGTTTTGGATCTTGCTTCCAGGAACTGTCTTGTTTTTGTGGTTGGTTTTTATCTTGAGCTGAATCTGGTTTACGTGATGCTTCTTGCTTCTGTGTCGGATGCTGATATTGTGTTTGTTCTGGATTCTGAGATAGTTCTTGCTTCTGTGTTAGATCTTGTTTCTGAGAAATGTCTTGTTTATGAGTTTGACCTTGTTTTTTTGTTTGAGCTTGATTCTGAGTTGTGTCCTGTATCTGAGATTTATCTTGTTTCTGTATTGGATCCTGTTTCTGGGTATGATCTTCCTTTTGAGTTGTGTCCTGTTTATCAGATGGTCCTTGTTTCTGTGTTGAATCATGTTGAGATGGTTCTTGGGTCTGTGTTTTATCATATTTCCATGTTAAATCTGTTTTATGTGTTAGGTCTTCTTTCGGGGGAATATCTTTTTTCTCTGCTTGTTTTTGCTTCAGAGTTAAGTTTTCTTTCTGAAATGGCTCTTGTTTCTGTCTGGGTTCTTCTTTTTGGGGTGAGTCTTGTTTCTCATAAACATCTTGATGCTGTGTTGGATCCTGTTTCAGAAAAATGTCTTGTTTTTTAGATTGATCTTCCTTCTGAGTTTTGTCTTCTTCATATGATTGTCCTTGTTTCTGTGTCTGGTCTTGCTTTTTAAATAATTCTTTCTGTTTTAAATCTTGTTTCTGTAGTTGATCCTGTATCTGCTTTGGTATTTGCTGCTTTGCAGGGTCTTGTTCTTGAGATGTTTCTTGTATCTGTGTTGTGTCCCATTTCCATGTTAGATCTTCTTTGAGAGAAATGTCTTGTTTTTGTGTTTGGTTTTGCTTATGCTCGGTATCTTGTTTTTTAGATGAGTCTTGTTTCTGTTTTGGGTCTTCTTTCAGAGTCTGATCTTTATGCTGAGATTGGTCTTGCTTATGTGCTGGGTCTTGTTTTTCAGAAATGTCATCTTTTTGCTTTAAATCTTGTTTCTGTTTAATTTTCTGATCCTCTTTTTGATCTTGTTTCTGTGCTGGGTCTTGTTTCTGATTTTGTGCTTCTTTCTGTACTAATTCATGTTTTTTTGAGTCTTGTTTCTCAGATGGTGCTTCTTTCTGTGCTGGGTCTTGCTTCCAAGAAATGTCATATTTCTGTTTAAGATCTTGTTTTGGTATTTGATCTTGTTTATCTGCTGTGTCATGTTTCTGAGATGATTTTTCTTTCTGTAGTGGGTCTTGTTTCTGAGAAATGTCATCTTTCTGTTTTAAATCTTGTTTTGGTGTTTGATCTTGTTTCTGGGATGGGTCTTGTTTCTTTGTTGTGTCCTGTTTCTGAGAGAGTTCTTTCTGTAATGGGTCTTGTTTCTGACAAATGCTATCTTTCTGTTTTAAATCTTGTTTTGGTGTTTGATCTTTTTTCTGTGCCGGGTCTTGTTTCTGTGATGGGTCTTGTTTCTTACTTGGTAATTCTTTCAGGAGTGGGTCTTGTTTCTGAAAAAAAATGTCTTTCTGTTTTACATCTTGTTTCTGTGTTAAATCTTGTTTTGGTATTTGATCTTGTTTCTCCTCTGTGTCATGTTTCTGACCTGATTTTTCTTTCTTCAGTGGGTCTTGTTTCTGAGAAATGTCATCCTTCTGTTTTACATCTTGTCTTGGTGTTTCATCTTGTTTCTGTTTTGTGTCTTGTTTCTTACATGTTATTTCTTTCAGTAGTGGGTCTTGTTTCTGAAAAATGCTATCTTTCTGTTTTAAATCTTGTTTTGGTGTTTCATCTTGTTTCAGTGATGGGTCTTGTTTCTTTGTTGTGTCCTGTTTCTGAGAGAGCTCTTTCTGTGATGGGTCATGTTTCTGAGACATTATATCTTTCTGTTTTAAATCTTGTTTTGGTGATTCATCTTGTTTCTGTGATGGGTCTTGTTTCTGTTGTGTGTCTTGTTTCTTATATGTTATTTCTTTCAGTAGTGGATCTTGTTTCTGAAAAACATCATCTTTCTGTTTTACATCTTGCTTCTGTGTTAAATCTTGTTTTGGAGTTTGGTCTTGTTTCTGTGCTGGATCTTGTTTCTGAGATTGTGCTTCTTTATGTACTGATTCTTGTTTCTTTGAGTCTTGTTTCTCAGATGATGTTTCTTTCTGTGCTGGGTCTTGTTTCCAAGAAATGTAATCTTTCTGTTTTAAATCTTGTTTTGGTAATTCATCTTGTTTCTGTGATGGGTCTTGTTTCTGTTGTGTGTCTTGTTTCTTATATGTTATTTCTTTCAGTAGTGGATCTTGTTTCTGAAAAACATCATCTTTCTGTTTTACATCTTGTTTCTGTGTTAAATCTTGTTTTACAGTTTGATCTTGTTTCTGTGCTTGGTCTTGTTTCTGAGATTGTGCCTCTTTCTGTACTGATTCTTGTTTTTTTGAGTCTTGTTTCTCAGATGGTGTTTCTTTTTGTGCTGGGCCTTGTTTACAAGAAATGTCATATATATGTTTAAGATCTTGTTTTGGTATTTGATCTTGTTTCTCTGCTGTGTCTTGTTTCTTTGTTGTGTCTTGCTTCTGACACGATTTTTCTCTCTCTAGTGAGTCTTCTTTCTGAGAAATGTCATCTTTCTGTTTCTGTATTAAATCTTGTTTTGAAGTTTGATCTTGTTTCTGTCCTGGGTCTTGTTTCTCAGATGGTGCTTTTTTCTGTGCTGGGTCTTGTTTCCAAGAAGTGTCATCTTTCTGTTTTAAATCTTGTTTTGGTGTTTGATCTCTTTTCAGTGATGGGTCTTGTTTCTTTGTTGTGTCCTGTTTCTGAGAAAGGTCTTCTTTCTGTAATGGGTCTTGCTTCTGACAAATGCTATCCTTCTGTTTTAAATCTTGTTTTGGTGTTTCCTTTTGTTTCTGTGCTGTGTCTTGTTTCTGAGATTGTGCTTCTTTCTGTACTGAATCTTGTTTCTTTGAGTCTTGTTTCTCAGATGGTGCTTCTTTCTGTGCTGGGTCTTGTTTCCAAGAAATTTCATCTTTCTTTTTTAAATCTTGTTTTGGTGTTTGATCTCTTTTCAGTGATGGGTCGTGTCTCTTTGTTGTGTCCTGTTTCTGAGAAAGGTCTTCTTTCTGTAATGGGTCTTGCTTCTGACAAATGCTATCCTTCTGTTTTAAATCTTGTTTTGGTGTTTCCTTTTGTTTCTGTGCTGGGTCTTGTTTCTGAGATTGTGCTTCTTTCTGTACTGAATCTTGTTTCTTTGAGTCTTGTTTCTCAGATGGTGCTTCTTTCTGTGCTGGGTCTTGTTTCCAAGAAATTTCATCTTTCTTTTTTAAATCTTGTTTTGGTGTTTGATCTCTTTTCAGTGATGGGTCGTGTCTCTTTGTTGTGTCCTGTTTCTGAGAAAGGTCTTCTTTCTGTAATGGGTCTTGCTTCTGACAAATGCTATCCTTCTGTTTTAAATCTTGTTTTGGTGTTTCATCTTGTTTCTGTGCTGGGTCTTGTTTCTTACTTGTTATTTCTTTCAGTAGTAAGTCTTGTTTCTGAAAAATGTCATCTTTCTGTTTTACATTTTGTTTTGGAGTTTCATCTTGTTTCTGTGCTGGGTCTTGTTTCTGAGATTGTGCTTCTTTCTGTACTGAATCTTGTTTCTTTGAGTCTTGTTTCTCAGATTGTGCTTCTTTCTGTGCTGGGTCTTGTTTCCAAGAAATGTCATCTTTCTGTTTTAAATCTTGTTTTGGTGTTTGATCTCTTATCGGTGATGGGTCGTGTCTCTTTGTTGTGTCCTGTTTCTGAGAAAGGTCTTCTTTCTGTAATGGGTTTTGTTTCTGAGAAATGTATTCTTTCTGTTTTAAATCTTGTTTTGGTGGTTGATCTTGTTTCTCTTGTGTGTCTTGTTTCTTACATGTTATTTCTGGCAGTAGTGGGTCTTGTTTCTGAAAAATGTAATCTTTCTGTTTTACATCTTGCTTCTGTGTTAAATCTTGTTTTGGAGTTTGGGCTTGTGCTGGGTCTTGTTTCTGAGAGTGTGCTTCTTTATGTACTGATTCTTGTTTCTTTGAGTCTTGTTTCTCAGATGATGTTTCTTTCTGTGTTGGGTCTTGTTTCCAAGAAATGTCATCTTTCTGTTTAAGATCTTGTTTTGGTGTTTGATCTTGTTTCAGTGATGGGTCTTGTTTCTTTGTTGTGTCCTGTTTCTGAGAAAGTTCTTTCTGTAGTGGGTCTTGTTTCTGGAAAATGCTATCCTTCTGTTTTATATCTTGTTTCTGTGTTAAATCTTGTTTTGGAGTTTGGTCTTGTTTCTGTGCTGGGTCTTGTTTTTCAGATGGTGCTTCTTTCTGTGCTGGATCTTGTTCCCAAAAAATTTCATATTTCTGTTTAAGATCTTGTTTTGGTATTTGATCTTGTTTCTCTGCTGTGTCTTGTTTCTTTGTCGTGTCTTGTTTCTGAAATGATTTTTCTTTCTGTAGTGAGTTTTGTTTGTGAAAAATTTCATCTTTCTGTTTTACATCTTGCTTCTGTGTTAAATCTTGTTTTGGAGTTTCATCTTGTTTCTGTGCTGGGTCTTGTTTCTGAGATTGTGGTTCTTTATGTACTGATTCTTGTTTTTTTGAGTCTTGTTTCTCAGATGGTGCTGCTTTCTGTGCTGGGTCTTGTTTCCAAGACACTTCATCTTTCTGTTTTAAATCTTGTTTTGGTGTTTGATCTTGTTTCAGTGATGGGTCTTGTTTCTTTGTTGTGTCCTGTTTCTGAGAAAGTTCTTTCTGTAATGGGTCTTGTTTCTGAGAAATGTCATCTTTTTGTTTTAAATCTTGTTTCGGTGTTTGATCTCTTTTCAGTGATGGGTCTTGTTTCTTTGTTGTGTCCTGTTTCTGAGAAAGGTCTTCTTTCTGTAATGGGTCTTGTTTCTGAGAAATGTCATCTTTCTGTTTTAAATCTCGTTTTGGTGATTGATCTTGTTTCTGTGCTGTGTCTTGTTTCTGTTGTGTGTCTTGTTTCTTACATGTTATTTCTTGCAGTAGTGGGTCTTGTTTCTGATAAATGTCATCTTTCTGTTTTATATCTTGCTTCTGTGTTAAATCTTGTTTTGGAGTTTGGTCTTGTTTCTGTGCTGGATCTTGTTTCTGAGATTGTGCTTCTTTATGTACTGATTCTTGTTTCTTTGAGTCTTGTTTCTCAGATGATGTTTCTTTCTGTGCTGGGTCTTGTTTCCAAGAAATGTAATCTTTCTGTTTAAGATCTTGTTTTAGTATTTGATCTTGTTTCTCTGCTGTGTCATGTTTCTGACATGATTTTTCTTTCTGTAGTGGCCCTTGTTTCCAAGACATGTCATCTTTCTGTTTTAAATCTAGTTTTGGTGTTTGATCTTGTTTCAGTGATGGGTCTTGTTTCTTTGTTGTGTCCTGTTTCTGAGAAAGTTCTTTCTGTAGTGGGTCTTGTTTCTGACAAATGCTATCCTTCTTTTTTAAATCTTGTTTTGGTGTTTCATCTTGTTTCTGTGATGGGTCTTGTTTCTTACATGTTATTTCTTTCAGTAGTGGGTCTTGTTTCTGAATAATGTTATCTTTCTGTTTTACATCTTGTTTTTGTGTTAAATCTTGTTTTGGAGTTTGGTTTTGTTTCTGTGCTTGGTCTTGTTTTTCAGATGGTGCTTCTTTCTGTGCTGGATCTTGTTCCCAAGAAATTTCATATTTCTGTTTAAGATCTTGTTTTGGTATTTGATCTTGTTTTTCTGTTGTGTCTTGTTTCTTTGTCGTGTCTTGTTTCTGAAATGATTTTTCTTTCTGTAGTGGGTCTTGTTTCTGAAAAATGTCATCTTTTTGTTTTACATCTTGCTTCTGTGTTAAATCTTGTTTTGGAGTGTCATCTTGTTTCTGTGCTGGGTCTTGTTTCTGAGATTGTGGTTCTTTATGTACTGATTCTTGTTTCTTTGAGTCTTGTTTCTCAGATGGTGCTTCTTTCTGTGCTGGGTCTTGTTTACAAGACATGTCATCTTTCTGTTTTAAATCTTGTTTTGGTGTTTGATCTTGTTTCAGTGATGGGTCTTGTTTCTTTGTTGTGTCCTGTTTCTGAGAAAGTTCTTCTTTCTGTAATGGGTCTTGTTTTGGTGTTTCGTCTTGTTTCTGTTTGGTGTCTTGTTTCATACATGTTATTTCTTTCAGTAGTGGGTCTTGTTTCTGAAAACCGCCATCTTTCTGTTTTAAATCTTGTTTAGGTGTGGTATCTTGTTGTGTAGTGCTATCTTGTTTCTGAGATTGTGCTTCCTTTTGTACTGATTCTTGTTTCTTTGTGTCTTGTTTCTCAGATGGTGCTTCTCTCTGTGCTGGGTCTTGTTTCTGAACAATGCATTCTTTCTGTTTTACATCTTGTTTCTGTGTTAAATCGTCTTTTGAAATTTGATCTTGTTTCGACGATGGCTCTTGTTTCTTTGTTGTGTCTTGTTTCTGAGAAGGTTCATCTTTCTGTGCTGGCTCTTGTTTCTGAGAAATTATATCTTTCTGTTTTAAATCTTGTTTTGGTGTTTCATCTTGTTTCTGTGCTGGGTCTTGTTTCTGTTGTGTGTCTTGTTTCTCACATGTTTTTTCTTTCTGTAATTGGTCTTGTTTGTGAAAATTTTTATCTTTTTGTTTTACATCTTGTTTCTGTGTTGAATCTTGTTTTGGAGTTTGATCTTGTTGCTGCAATGGGTCTTGTTTCTTTGTTGGGTGTTGTTTCTTTGTTGTGTCTTGTTTCTGAAAAGGTTCTTCTTTCTGTGCTTGGTCTTGTTTCTGAGAAATGTTATCTTTCTGTTTTAAATCTTGTTTTGGTTTATGTGCTGTGTCTTGTGTCTGCTGTGTGTCGTGTTTCTGACATGTTTTTTCTTTCTGTAGTGGGTCTTGAGAAATGTAATCTTTCTGTTTTATATCTTGTTTCTGTGTTAAATCTTGTTTCTGTGATGAGTCTTGTTTCTTTGTTGTGTCTTGTTTTTGTGCTGGCTCTTGTTTCTTTATGTCTTGTTCCTGTGATGGGGCTTCTTTCTGTGCTGGGTCTTGTTTCTGAGAAATGTCATCTTTCTGTTTTAAATCTTGTTTTAGTGTGTGATCTTGTTTCTGTGCTGTGTCTTGTTTCTTTGTTGTGTCTTGTTTCTGAGAGGGTTCTTCCTTCTGTGTTGGGTCTTGTTTTGGAGTGTAATCTTGTTTTTCTAACTGGTCTTGTTTCTGACAAATGTCTTCCTTCTGTTGAAATACTTGTTTTGGTGTATGATTTTGTTTATGTGTGGAATCTAGTTGTGGAGTTTGGTCTTTTTTCTGTGAAGAATATTGGGTTTCTGTTGTGTCTTGCTTCTGAGATGGCTTTTCTTTCTGTGCAGTATCTTGTTTCTGAAAAGCATCTTTCTGTTTTAAATCTGGTTTCTGTGTGAGATCTTGTTTTTGAGTTTGAACTTGTTTTTGCCATGGGTCTTGTTTCTTTGTTGTATCTTGTGACTGAAATTGTTCATGCTGCTGTTCTGGGTATTTTGTTTCTGGTAAATTGTGTTTTGGAGTCTTGTCTTGTTTCTTTATTTGGTCTTGCTTCTGGGATGAGTCTTTTTTCTGTTTTGGATCTTGTTTCTGAGTTGGGTCTTGTTTCTCAGAATTGTCTTCTTTCTGTTGTAAACCTAGTTTCTGAAAATGGCTTGGTTCATGTATTGAATCTAATTTATTAGATGTGTCTTGCTTTTGCGTTGTGTCTTGTTTTTGTGTTAATTTTGTCCAAGATAGGTCACTTTCCTGTGTTGGGTCTGGTATCTGTTCTAGATCTTGTTTTTGTAATGGGTCTTGTTTCTGAGTGGGTTTAGTCTTCTGAATATGTTCCAGTTTCTTGGTTTGATCTGGTTGAACAAATAAACTTTGATCTGGGGCTGTCTCCAGTGTTTGGGAACTGGTTTGTTTTGGAGGTTGATCATATTTGGAATACTTGCTTTGTTCCTTGGGCAATTCATGTTTTTGAGAAATATCTTGCAAAGCCTGTGCTTGATTTTTTCTCGTTTGTGTTGAATCTGATTTCTGTATCTGTGATTGTGCTGAATCTTGTTTTTCATGAGGCAGATCCTTTAGTCCTTCCTTTTCTTGGTCAGGTTTTTGGGGCTCTTTAGTCATTAGTGTTGCTGAATCTTTACCAGATCTTTCTTCTTTTACTTTGGCTGCTTCTTTGATTTCCTCACATATAGTACATTTTCCTTTACTTTCCAGAGCCTCATAATACGCTAGTCCAACCTTTGACACTAGCTCAAGAAACTCTTCAAAATCCACTGCTCCATCATTGTTTTGATCCAAGGAATGTAGGATATTCCTAATAGTTTGAGGATTGTTCGAGTCCTAAATGTAAAAAAAATTGTTATTTTGGATCAAATATGACATTACATATTAGGCAATTCCACGGTGTCTGAGAGTTTATACTTCCCATTGACTGAGAATTAGAGAATGTGTCACTGGTATAAAGAAAATAAATTAAAGGAGTTGTGGTTATTCTTAAACTTGGCAAAAAGGTAGAAGCATGAACTGCAAGTTATATATTTAAATTTCCCTGGAAACATTATTTTTTTTGAATTAAAATAACCAATATACTTACAGTAGATCAGCTTAATATTTTTTAAAAGAAATCTTAAAAGAAGTATCCCTCTTTGGAATCTGTTGGTATTGCTAATATAACTACCCAAAGCACATTTTTATCGATAAGGTATCAACAAGGTTTTGTTTAAAACATGATACTTTTCTCTACTTTCTTTCGATAATAATAGGACTAGCCTAGTAGCTGGTGACATCACAGGGGTAGTGGTTTAACCGAGAGGTTCAACCAAACTGTTGCAGTGGGATATTGCTCATTATGAAGGCTTGGCACACTGAGCTGCTCTGTACATGGCTACTAAATGTTGAACCATGTGACAGAGAGGGCAATCATATAACAAAAGATACTCTAATCTCTAATATATACAGCTTGTATTATTAAATTATTATGATTCTACAGTACAATTATATACATAACATAATAGTACTGCTATTTACATGCATTTTGGTATTATGCAAACCAATTTAGCTTTTAGCATAATCATGATTTATGATATTTAATGTAAACAGTCTAACACAATTAATTATGTAATAATTATTTATGATAATCTGGGTGTGTGTTGCTTTCTTTTTTTAACTCTTTATTGCGTCCCATTAAAAGTTTGAATTGGTTATAGTGCATGGAGTCCCCTGGCACTGTCCCTCCACTCACTGTTAAACCATTTGTGAGCAGTTTAACAATGGATAAGTGTAACTGGCTATCTACAGCCTGGCCCCGACCTGGAAGTATGGCTAAGGCAGAGATGACACATTTGCTTCTATCCATACCAATTCATGTCAATGGGCAGTAAGTCCACAATCCTGAGAAGTATCTGTCAGGACAATAGTCATCAAGCGTCATGACTTCACAGTAGGAGAATTATAGGTAAGTTTAATTGTATTTTTTTTTTAAAAGGGTCTCGAAATTCTAGTCTATCAATGACACACTACAGATTTAAAGAAACGTTTGTTTTTCTATAGTTAAAATGTTCCTGTAACTGAAGCCCATGCCCAGAATCCTTCAAAAGTGCTTTGTGCATGTGCAGCCCTGGGTCGGGCTAACCGGCTATCAGTCAGTACAGCATGCATTTGTACATTAATGCCAGGCTAGTCCCACCACATTCCCACAAGTTTGAGCATTTTTACTCACTGGCAAGCATCTTGTGCACAAAATCAGCAAATACAAATTCAATGTATGTGCAAAACATGCAAGAAGCCAAATATTACTAGGGTGTAACCTGAAATTGGTGCTAACATGGAAACGGGCCAGGAGACAAATTCCCCCAAATGAAATAACCTAGAATGTCTATTTCAACTGATGGGCTACTAACCCGACATTAATGAGACATGTACGATGCACCAGAATAATACATTATTGCAGGTTTATATTTAAGAACTGAAATTAGATCATTCCATGCTTGACAACGTAACTGCAACAATTCTTGGCAAGTATATGTAAATAAATGGACATTGCCATTCTTGAAAGATGTAGCCGAACACAAAGTCATCAAACTTACAAAATGCACAACACTAATGTAATGCTGCCATTGCTTAAAGGGACACTATAGTCACCTGAACAACTTTAGCTTAATGAAGCAGTTTTGGTGTATAGAACATGCCCCTGCAGCCTCACTGCTCAATCCTCTGCCATTTAGGAGTTAAATCCATTTGTTTATGAAACCTAGTCACACCTCCCTGCATGTGACTTGCACAGCCTTCCATAAACACTTCCTGTAAAGAGAGCCCTATTTAGGCTTTCTTTATTGCAAGTTCTGTTTAATTAAGATTTTCTTATCCCATGCTATGTTAATAGCTTGCTAGACCCCGCAAGAGCCTCCTGGATGTGATTAAAGTTCAATTTAGAGATTGAGATACAATTATTTAAGGTAAATTACAGCTGTTTGAAAGTGAAACCAGTTTTTTTTTTTTTTTTTATTCATGCAGACTCTGTCAATCATAGCCAGGGGAAGTGTGGCTAGGGCTGCATAAACAGAAACAAAGTGATTTAACTTCTAAATGACAGTGAATTGAGCAGTGAAATTGCAGGGGAATGATCTATACACTAAAACTGCTTTATTTAGCTAAAGTATTTTAGGTGACTATAGTGTTCCTTTAAGAAGGAAATACAAAGATATTACTAATGTTGAACAGGATTGGTGATACAATGTCTGAGTGGAAACTGCACCCTTTTGTAGCTTGCCTGTCAGCTTAATTGTATTTTTCATGAATGCAGCTATTTAAGGCTGTGCATGTACAGACTCTGTCCTAAGAAGCCATGGGAAAATTATAATGAATTGTGATGTCAGTATGGAGTGGGGACATATAGCTGTGGGGATCTGCAAAAACGTTGTGGCTGTATGGACCCCACCCCGTGCAGACACAAGGCAAAGCTATATTTGAATATGATGAACAGTGATAGAAATCTCCTTCATATGTAGTTATAATGCTCAGAGTGTCCCTTTAAGAATTGTATTTCATTATCTGGACTATCACAAGTATTTATTGTATTGTGTTAACGTGATAGGTTAAACAGTTACACCCAGGAGAGCCAACACCCACACGCTTTGGGGAACACCCAATAAATCCAGAAAAACTCCTATGTCATATTTGCATTTTTGTCTGTCACAAAAAATAAAATAAAATAAGCTTATAAGGAGATCATGGTTTGTGATAAATAAGTACTAAATTGTGTTTTTTTTTGCCACCTTAAATTAGTAAACCATTTGATCACGAAACGCTGCACACTTTACAGCAGTGTGCACTAGCATGCCCCTAACCCACCCAAGAGTGCTACTAAATAATTGGGCGAGATGATATCCCAGCCCTGTATTTATATCCAAACTAATTATGTCACATCTTCTGCCATGTGCTATACACAAGGTGTGTGTTCAGAGTGTTCTCGTATTCCAGTTTTAGTTAGCTTATACAATTTTCTCTGGGGAATGAGCAATCTGTGAGGTGTAAGCTGGGTGCGAGGTTGCCAGATCTGCAGATTTCTTGCCTTAATTTATTCCTTTAGGTTGGTTGGCAACATATTAAAAGTCCTGACTTGCAGTATGAAGAATGTACATGCGTGTGCACAGAGAGAATAGAATCTGTACTTTCAAATTGTTACAAATATGAACTAGGTTGCAATAAAATGAACTATCATGCAAAATGTACGCCACATGAACAGACATCAAGATTTCCATCAATATTGGCTATTCAAGCATAAAGGGCTACTCAAAGCACCATAACCAGTTCAGTGTCCTGTAGCAGTTATGTTGTTAGGAGTCCCCAGGTGTTTACCCACTGTTTTCTGACAGTTTGACATTTACCAGATTTCACATCAGTCCAGACCTTCATCACTGATATTGCTAAAGCAGATGTTACATTATACATGATCTGTTTAAGTCCAGTCTGTCTTTGGATGGAATTAATTGGCTGATAGTGTTAGCTGACACTCAGCTAATTTGTTTTGTCCAAAGTTGGACTCAATTGATATTTATAAAGTGGAAGATGAATTTCCATTTGTTAAAAATATTCCATCAAGTGGTGCCAGAACGTGTGTTCCCAGGAAACCCAGGGAAGCATCGAACTGTTTGAAAAAATTGTTCTCCCCTTAAAAGTGGTATGGTGCCACCATAACCACTACAGTCCATAAATTGTTTTCTGAACTACTATTTCATATTTACTATAATAGATGCACGATAGGGGTCTCTGTATAAAGACCACCCATTAAAACTGAGCAGATGGCAATTTGATTAGCAATACCTCAATAATATTGGCAAACTCCTTCTGAATCAAGTTGTTGAACTCTTCAATGTTAAGTTTGTTGCAGGGGGTGCTAGCGCTGCTGTAGCTGTGAAACGTTGCAATAATATTCCTAATAGCTCTGAGAAGCTGTGCCATGGTTTACTTGGGTTCTGGAAAACAGACAGAATAAAAATAATAAATTAGTGTATGAAAACAAAAAAACTGCTATCCAGTTGTATACATTTAAGCAGATGTATCAATTATCTCATAGAACAGACAGACATAACATTAAAATAAAATCATCTCATTAGTTTTCAGCTTTAGCGAGCCTCCTGGACAACTTGGGATGGGGAAGCATTACTGCTGTCCATCTCTTGTGGGATGGATGGATTGATGCTGTTATTAATGTTTAAAGTTTGGCAGGTTTGTGGAGATGCTGGGGGAGGAGACTTACCAGTCAGCAGGAACAGATGCAGGTCCCCGATTGGACTGGACATTTTCATTTTGGGGTTGCAGTTGTGGATTGAAGCTATGCTGTCTGCATGGGGTACAATGCCGACGCGGCATAGCGTGTGCTAGGGCTACATCACAGTGGTGGGATTCCTGGACAGCACAGATGAGAAATGGAACACGTCGAAGCCCAACAGCTGACAGGGTTATGAAGAATGTTAAATTGGTTATGTTTATTAATAAGGCTGTGGTCATTACCCTTATCCACCATAGAAGGTGTCCAGTGTCTTACTTGGGGGCAACGATGATGATGGATATATGGATCAACAGTCATGTTTTCACAACATAATGTCTGCTACTAATAAAGAAATCAGAGTATATTCTTCAGAAACCCTTAAAACATGATCACTAGTAGATAAACAGATGAAACCTTAGAACGGGCATAGGCAACCTTCGGCACTCCAGATATTTTGGACTACACCTCCCATGATGCTTTGCCAGGATTATGGGTGTAAGAGCATTATGGGGGATGTAGTCCACAACATCTGGAGTGCCGAAGGTTGCCTATCCCTGCCTTAGAACATATTCTAAATTATAGAAGACTTCCATAGATGGGGGTAATGTAAGTGTGGAAGAGAGTGATGGGTAAAGTGATTTTGGACTAATGGTGATGGGGGTAATGTTAAATGAGGCGATGATGGACTATGAGGATGGAGAGAAATATTTATGGGTTTGAGGATGATGTAAAGTTTATGTAAATGGGTAGAGGTGGTTGTGGCGCTAGAGATGATGAGGGCATTTGTGGGCTGGGGTGAGGGGATTAAGGGGATTGTAGTGAGGAGTTACACGCATGTGGTGATGGGATTAATATTATGGTGTAAAGTTTGTGTGGTTCATTTTATTTTGTTATATATATTATTAATTATCAACATACAAAACAAACAAGCTTGTCACTAATCTGTTTTTATACACAATTTGTGTATTATTACATGGTCATTTATGGTTATGCATGAGATCATCGTGTAATTACAACAAGAGCCAAGTAAAAACTTTGCTGTAGAGATTTAAACAATCAACCTCAAAAACGATCAAAAAGACCAAATAAATAATTTTACATTAAATGTCTTAATATTCTAAAGGTGGAGACAACCCTCCCCTTTCTCCCCCCAAAAAAACCCAACAACACAAAAACAGAAAACAAAACAAACGTAAACGTACACAGACACAAAACGAAACAAAACACAATGGCCATAAATATATCTCAGTTAACCCTCAATTGAATAGGTCCTGTGTAGTTCATTTTATTAGGATGTGAACCCCATGTTTTACTGCTTTTTTTAAATAAAAAGCCAAAAACTGCTGGAAATGTAGTCACAGTGAACAATTATTTGTAAAAAGAAACTACAACTTTGTCTCCTTGCACCATAACCTACGCAAAGTGATAAACTCACTCTTTAAACGTGTGTTGTTTTTTAGTGCAACCTCCGCTACACCAGTTTAATAAAAGTTTGATTATATTTTAAAATGTGCATGCGTCACAACCAGAAATAGGAGAGGAAAACTGCATTGTTAAAATATGTACTTATCCAGTCATTAGCAGTCATTTCAACTAGCTTGAGTGCATAGATAACACTATTAGCTGAACAAAATTGGATCCTGTCATTTAGAACATGACAGTTTCTTTAAATACATTATATCAAGAGGACAAAAAGCCCAGCCACTCCTAGGACATTATTTCTGATTAAAAATAATCAGTGGCAATCACTAATCCGAGGTTCATTACCTATTAGCGTGTCATCGGTATCAAAGATTATTTAGTGGGGTTTATTCATCAACAAGCAAATTGTAGTAAAATGAAAAGCAAATTTGCAAAGTTCAGACAAGAACAGTCAGCTATAGTCATTGCCCGGCTTTTTTAGCCTAGATTCTGCAATTTGTGTTACCGGTGTCTAAATGTCTGTTTAGTGAATAAACCCCATAGTAACATTTTGCGGAGGGGTGAAGGGACAATCCAGGCTCTATGACCACTGCAGCCCAATCAGTTCCACATTATCCTGTTTAGTTACCAACAAAACTAAAAATCTTTATTGGAAGAAGACAACACACAGAATAATATAGTTTGCAAACAAATTCCTGCCACTTGATTAAGTGTAATCATTCAAACAATGTTATTCTCATGGTTACAATGCAAATAGGCTATGGAGACAGTCACTCCATAAACGGTTTTCAATGATTCCAGTTCACACCATTTCAGCTTGGAACATCAGATGAGCTATTTTCACCTTCTTCCAAAATATTTGTATGGGCATGTGGAACGCAACTTTGACTTAATCACTCTTAACTATTTTGGCATCAACACATTGACTCAGGCTTGTACAACTAAATATACATAGACTTTCATGCATACACCCAGACTAGAAGCGTTTGTTTAAGGTTGGAATTACTGTCCTCGATCCAAGATGCAATGTGTTTGTCGAGGTGGAGACCAACATACCCAGGTGCATTTCAATGGAATGTGGACAGAAATTGCACTTATTTTATATGATTTTTTTTATTTTATATGATTTGTGCTTCTATGTCCCTTCAATTTTGAAATCAATAATTATATAAATATACTGAGAGATTCTACAGCAGAAAAATATTTATACATTTACAACATGTCACCTGCTGCTCTGAGTCAGGCTTTTTAATATTATTCTGTTAACTTTGTTAGATGTTAATGTTAGAAGAACGAGTGATTATATAGAATTTGGATAAACATATGAATGACTGTTCAGAACTAATCTGGACTCCTTTTATTCAAGTAGGTATTAAAAAAAAAAAGGATAGAGAAAGCATTTGACTCACGCCACACTTTAGTGAATACATTTTGAAGATTACTTGATTGGACACATTGGTTGTACTCACCCTGTTTGTGCTTCTGCCGTTTTTGTTTTTGGAGTGGAGAAAGGCAGATGTTCAGACAAGGGAGGACAAGACTTCATAAGGTGTCCATAACTAAGGTGTTTCATGGAATCCCTGACACCTATCATATATTTTATTTACTGCAGCTTATATTCACCCTTACCCGCTTCTTTGTTATGTTTATGGTCTGGGATGTAGGGGATTGCTTATGGAAAACAGTGAGGATTTATGGTTGCACAAACCACTCAAACAATTAAGGCTGCCTAGCTGCTGTATATGTCTTGTAAGCATGTAAACTCCATTTACTTTCTCTTCAAGTCATACAGAGATACACAGACATGGTTATAAAGAATAAAATGATGCGCATTCAGAATGGATTTCATATTTTATGATCAAAATAGCTAAACAGAAAACTTCGCTTAGATGTAGAATTATTCCAATTTTGGCCTGAAATTTGTAATTAACTTTCAATTCACAGTTTAGCAAATGATCTTGAAAGTGTTAGCTGCCTCTGTGATCATATATGGATTGGTGACAGTAGCATGATTACTTATTAAAGAGATCATTGTCAGGGAGTGAGTTAAAAGTGAATTTCAAATTTAAAGGGTTAATACAAACACCATGAACACTTCGCTGTTTTAAAGTGGTAATGGTGCTTGAAGTCTGTATGTGCAGCCTTTCATTAGGAAATGTTGCACGTAGAGAGATATTTAAGGTATTAGCCGGAATGGAATGAGAGTTTCCGGGCTGGCGAATGTCACTCATGTGCATATTGAGTGCACAGTCACTCACTCATTGGCTATGAGGGTGCAGCTGACTCTGTCACCCAATGAACAACCAACAGGATCAATGTTTGGCTTCTGCAGATCTGCAAAAGCCGAATGTCATTAATTCTGCTTGAAAGGAGATTCGCTGCCCGGTGGAACCCAGGTAAAAGGGCAAACCATTGCAGAAGGGTTTGCCCCATTACCGAGGAATGGTGCCAGGTAACTCCTGGTATCATAACTACTACAGTGGGCTCTAGTGGTTATGGTGTGTGGAGTAACACTTTTTGACCAATGTAGGCATGATGGAACAATAGTCAACTTGGGGAATTTTTCTACTTTGTCCTTAAAGTTGAAATTCTCTTTGCTTTCCCAATAATTATCACTTTAGTAACTAACCCTGTAAGTTATTCTTTTGTTGGATTTGAAGATGTTAAAATATGTCTTTGTCAAGCATGGAAATGCCAAAGACAGATTCCTTCAACCTGATTTGTTACATTTTGAATAAAAAGCATAGTACAGCCCCGTAGAATGAACATTTTATACCATTTATATAAGGGTGGTTGAGTCAGATTTATGTTACAATAAGTATAATAAGCTTTTAACCCTATGATTACTGGCAGCCTTCCAAGTCTTTTGCACCTAGAGCATACCTTTGAAAATAAATAGTTGTGGAATACATTACCTGCACAGGTGAGGTTTCTGTACAGCCTTTAGCCAGATACAGCTGAGATGGAGAGAGTATAATACAAATTCTATCCTTCTATCCCTTGGGTGCACACACTGAGCACTTAGAGAGACAGAATATAGGCGAGTAGGGAGGGAGACTTTATACCTTCTCTAAACTAAGATTCAGGTGACTCCCTGCTATATCTCCACCCTACATGGTCCAGATACAAACCAAATTTCCCTGCATGTTACACCCAGTGTGAGCAATCAGGTATCAATACGCTGAAAATACACTTTCCATTCACTATTCAGTAATATCACTTTCTGCGATCTTTTGTTCCATCTTTCCTATTCTTAGTAACATAGTAC